CCACGCCCCACACTGGGGATCGAGCCAGTGCCCTGACTGGGAGTCGAACTGTGACCTCCTGGTTCATAGGTCGACGTTCAACCACTGAGCCATGCCAGCCAGGGCAGAATTACATTTCTTTTTTAAAAAGATTTTTAATTGCTTTTTAGACACAGAGGAAGGGAGAGGGAGACAGAAAAACATCGATGTGAAAGCTAAACATCCATTTGCTGCCTCTTGCATGCCCCCTCTACCGGGGGTCAAGCTGGACATCCGGGCATGTGCCCTGACCGGGAATCGAACCGGTGACCTTTGGGTGCATAGGATGACACCCCACCAATTGAGACACACTGGCCAGGGCCAGAATTATATTTCTTCATCTGAAAAATGAAGTATCTGCCTCAAAAGTTAAACAGTGATTCAATATTAGCTAATGCATATAAATTACAGTGGGGTCTTGACTTACGAGTGTCCCGACTAATGAGTTTTTTGAGATACCAGCTGTCTCTTGGCCGATTTTTTGCATTGAGTTGACAGAGTAATTTGAGTTAACGAGCTCCTTAACGAGCTCGGTCTCGGAACTAATTAAACTTGTAAGTCAAGGCCCCACTGTACTTAGAACAGCGGTCACCAACCTTTCGGACCTCACGGACCACCAGTGCTCTGCGACCACCAGTCGGTGACCGCTGACTTAAATATATCTGTCATCGACTATTATGTGAAGGGAACTATGCCCTCACTGAACGGAGTGAGTCTTCTTGTACAAAATGGAAAATGTTAATATAATAGTAGGTCTCAGCATGTGTACTTTGGACCACATTTATTTTCTTATTTTCTGGTGGTTTCCCGATAGTTGAAATTTCTACATAGGTGAGATCTCACGTAAGGGCATTGTCTGCACAAGATGAGATTCTTCATTTGGCGAAATTCCTCTAGGCTGTTCAGAAATGTCCATTTCTCACATGATTTTCTCAATTACAGTACTTTTCCACTCAGTAAAAATGACTGATTTAGAAAATAGCTACTTAGTGATCAATTGTTATAATTACTATATATCTCAATTGATTATTATGTATTTTAAATTTAAAAAGTATTTATGTATTTACTTTTTATGAACAGCAAATAACAGCATTTAGACAGCCAATGCTGAATAAGCCTCACAGTGATTTTCCTCAAAGAGAAGTTATAGTCTAGGCATTCAGTAGCCTTGACTTAAGACCGTCACTGGTGCCCTAACCGGTTTGGCTCAGTGGATAGAGTGCCAGCCTGTGGACTGAAGGGTTCCAGGTTCGATTCCGGTCAAGGGCATGTACCTTGGTTGCGGGCACATCCCCAGTAGGGAGTGTGCAGGAGGCAGCTGATCGGTATTTCTCTCTCATCGATGTTTCTAACTCTCTATCCCTCTCCCTTCCTCTCTGTAAAAAATCAGTAAAATATATTTTAAGAAAAGACAGTCACTGGTAAAAACAGGTGTATGGAGAAAAAAGGCATCGATCTGGCAAAGAAACGTGACTTCACTATGCCCTGCCCCAGAAATGGACATGATCACCTATCTCTCTTTTTCATCAGAAACTGAAATGAAAACTCGACCCAGAGCACCTGAATCTCAGGCTTGGGGAATGTGAGTAAGGAGGGCAGGCATACTAGGCAGGAGGCCCACCCCAAAACCGGCCTAAATCCCAGAAATACCACAGGGTGTGACTCTCCATTATATTCTCTTTTTTTTCACGTGTGTTTCTGGGGAATTGGGGATGCTTAAGGCATTTTGACCCGATGGTATAGAAAGCATTTGGATGAAATATAAGTGGGGAAGGGTGATGTACACAAATATAGATGGAGTCAAGCTAACTGTCTAGACCCGTGGTCGGCAAACTGGCTTGCGAGCCACATGCGGCTCTTTGGCCCCTTGAGTGTGGCTCTTCCTAAGCCTTAGGAGTACCCTAATGAAGTGAATAACAGTGTACCTACCTATATAGTTGAAGTTTAAAAAATGTGGCTCTCAAAAGACATTTCAATCGTTGTACTGTTGATATTTGGCTCTGTTGGCTAATGAGTTTGCTGACCACTGGTCTAGACCAACAGTTCTCAACCTGTGGGTCGCGACCCCTTTGGGGGGCGAACGTCCCTTTCACAGGGGTCGCCTAAGACCATCGGAAAACACATATATAATTACATATTGTTTTTGTGATGAATCACTATGCTTTCATGATGCTCAATTTGTAACAATGACATTGGGGGTCACCACAACATGAGGAGCTGTATGAAAGGGTCATGGCATTAGGAAGGTTGAGAACCACTGGTCTAGACCAACTTTGGAGAGAATAAAAAGAACTTTGATAAATGTTTATAAGGCTAAAGTGAATCAAACTCTTGCTACCCATTTCAAAAACTGGCAAACAAAGTCTTCTGAAAGAATTGTGTTTTGAAGTTTGCTTTTTATTCATTGGTTTAAAGTGAACAAGATTAATATTTGCTTGATTTTGAACGTGTCTCCTATTGTCCAGGAGCCACTTGGTCTAAACACCATGGAAACCCAGAACAGAACCGGGGCCTTGAGAGATCGCCCAGTTACCTTCTTTCCTTTAGGCCTCAAGCTGCGTTTTAATTATTCTCAAAAGGAAAGTGAATCGCCCTGCTTTTAAATCAGCTTAACGGAAATGCTAGCTTATATACTATCATTTATTTTCAAAAAGAAAATAAGATACACCAAGTTTTCTTTCACAAAAGCAGTTCCTCAGCCTTGCATGCTTGGAGTGGCATTTTCTTGTTTAGAATTTTTAAAAATATTTACAGTTCACTCGCTAAATCCTTTATAAGGACAATTCTCGTTACAAAAGCGTCTCTTTTTCTGCCTCATAGTGAAATTGGGGCTGTGTTTACATAGTCATAGTATTTTACTCTTTAGCTGTTAAGCTATTTTTAAAAACAATTCTGTTCAAACAATATTCATTGAACAGCTACATTGTGCTCATCATGATACTAAGTGTTGAGAATTCAAAATGACTAAGACCTTTCTCTTGAACTCCAGATTATCTGCCAAGGAGAAGAGACAGGTAGATAAACACATACACACACATGTACACCGACACATGTATTAATATCTTATATAAACATATAATTTCAATATAATTAATTAAGTAAGCCACTCATATGTAATCAAGTGATTCCCATATATAATGATCTTAAGAGATTTAGCTATAGCCTTAATAATTTTTAATGAAGTCCCAGTTTTATTAGAAAGAAATGAGCATGTTAACAGTAGTGATGTCTACATAATAGCCTCAGAATTTTCTTTGCTTTCCTTTCTTTTTTCCCTTTAATACACTAAGCATATTATTTTTATAGTCAAGAAGCAGTTAAAAACTTTTCTTTTGTCAATAAAATGCATTCTAACACTATATAGCCAACAATTTAGATTACGAAAATGGCCGTTTGATGAGCCAAGTCTAAATTTCAGTATTTTTAAGTCAATATGCTATCTGAAACTGAGTTGCCAAAGGGGTCTTTGTGAAAAAATTTTAAGTGGACACCCTTCCCACGAAAATGCAAATAGCAATATAGGAACCTGTTGTCAAGAACTATGTACTTTCTATTCTTGCAAGAAATGGTTTTAAAATCTTTTTTAAAAAGAAGCTGGACTCTTATTTTTTAAAGGAAGCCATATGAGTGACTTCAATGTATAAAAAAAGATAAAAGTGGGTCTTCTCTGTTTGAAGGGGATCCTGGAGACAGGCCTAGTCCAACAGATCTTGCCCTCCCCTAAATTGCTTGGCCTCAAAAGTTACTTCTGAAGACTCTTGGGGTCTAGGTAGTCTGAATGCCATCAAGTAGATGTTCCCCCCAAAATCTTGGTTAGCCCAGGAATCTCTTAAGCAAACACATCCATAAGCTATCTTTTTTTTTTTTTAATTCTCATCCGAGGATATTTTTCCATTAATTTTTTCCAACTGATTTTTAGAGAGAGGGAAAGACAGAGAGAAATACTGATGTGAGAGAAACACATTGATTGGCTGTCTCCTGCACGCACCCTGACCAGAGCCTGGGCCGGGGCGGAACCTGCAACAGAGGTACTTGCCCTTGACCGGAATCGAACCCGGGATCCTTCGGTCCATAGGCCGATGCTCTATCCACTGAGCCAAACCGTCTAGGTCCATAAACTATCTTCACAAAGGAAACTTTGGCCCAGAGTTTGATCCAATGAACACAGAATTAAACTGGATGCTTACGTAAATGACGCTTGAATTAATGCAAGCCTTTAGTACTGACAGACAGGTCTGCTTACCATGTTTTTCTAGATGTTGACAGCAGCTGTCCACCAGCCTGGGAACCTGTCTGTAAATAGGATTCAGACTGAGTTTCTTATCTCTCGCTTTTTCTTTTTTACTTTGGGCTTCCGCAGGCAAGGAGAGCTGTAAAGCTTCTAGAAGTCGAGACTGGTTGTCATCAAGATCTGTAATGGAGTCCACTGACATAGCACCCTGCAAATCACACATAGCCATGAGCAAAGAGGGCAGACAGAGAAGATAAAAACAGCTTCCCCCAGATGCCATCCAGGAATACTCTGACCTATAATTATTTATCATGCTTGAAATAATACTGCTTGATTTCATTGTGCTGCTTGTATATTGCGAGGGGAAAAAAACAAATATCTTTTGAAAAAGTTAGAAGACGTCCGTACATGGGGTAAGATACTGGCAGTGACAATTTCAACAATAGACAACATTTTCCAAATGAAAGACAAGAGGGCAAACATAGAATTAAAATATTTGAATGCAACCACTTTGTTCCTTAAAACAAGAACACATCGCATACTCAATGAATGAGGTAGTTAGAGAAATCTTGTGAAGAAACAAATAAAACAGTCTTAGCTTGCTTTCCCCCAGAAGCAGCACAAAGCACTTTCTTAGGGAAGTGGTCCCCACAGCCACCTGCAGGGGAGTGGGGAAATGAGACATGGAAGAGAAAGCAGACACTGATGGGGGCCTCACCCGGCCTATGACCACCAGGGGCGGCTGGAGTCCAGTTGCATGGGGGCCCCTGGGTGGATCAAACACCCCTGAGCTAGCCCTGCTCGGGTGACAGAGCTGACGTATTTCTACTCCAAGTCTCAAGAGTCATCGATTAAGGGCTCCTCAGTTAAGAAATGGTCACTCCTGCCCTAGCTGGTTTGACTCAGTGGCTAGAGCAGTGGTTTTCAACCTTCTGGCCCTTTAAATACAGTTGCTCATGTTGTGACCCAACCATAAAATGATTTTCGTTGCTACTTCCTAACTGCAATGTTGCTACTGTTATGAATCGTCATGTAAATATCTGATATTCAGGATGGTCTTAGGCGACCCCTGTGAAAAGGTCGTTCTACCGCCAAAGGGGTCGCGACCCACAGGTTGAGAACCACTGGGCTAGAGCGTCGGCCTATGGATTGAAGGGTATGGGGTTCGATTACAGTCAAAGGCACATGCCCAGGTTGCAGGCTCAATCCCCAGTAGGGGACATGTAGGAGGCAACCGAGCAATCATTCTCTCTCATCATTGATGCTTGTATCTCTCTCTCCCTCTTCCTTCCTCTCTGAAATCAATAAAATATAGTTTTTAAAAAAGAGTAGCTTCTAGTAGGGGCAGGGAGGTGGTGTTAATGCCTCACTCAGTCCGTGCAGCCTGTCATCTGCCTGGGTGGGCTCCTCGGCCATCACAGAAAGCCCTCAGCAAAGAGGTGAGGTGCTGGCAGGTGAGAAGGCCAGCTTGCTAGGAATAGAGAAGGCCCAAGGGCAGGGACCAGGGCACCAGCCATGTCTGTGCAGTCGCCTATCCTGAGATGAAGTGTGGAGGAAGAAGTTGGCTGCTGATGTCCTGGGAAGCCTGGACAAGAGGAGGATGCATTTGGGAGGCCAATTGCATAGCCTTAGGTTGGTAGTTGGCAAACCGTGGCTCGCGAGCCACATGCGGCTCTTTGGCCCCTTGAGTGTGGCTCTTCCACAAAATACCACGTGTGGGCGTGCACGTACAGTGCGATTGAAACTTCATGGCCCATGCGCAGAAGTCGGTATTTTGTGGAAAAGCCAGTATTTTGTAGAAAAGCCACACTCAAGGGGCCAAAGAGCCGTGTGTGGCTCGCGAGCCGCAGTTTGCCGACCACTGGCTTAGGTTACCAGAAAACTCTAATGTAGAGTCTTGTTGTCATTGCCATATATGGGTTGGGACAGACAGTCTGAGGGACAATGACAGGATTGGAAGAACAATTCCATCATGCAAAGTCAAAGGTGGTCCTGTCTTCCTATTTACACAGAGCCAAAGCTTTGAAAAACAGCAGTGGCTCATGTGCCCCTCTCTCTCGGAGAGGTCCTGAATGTTGGGGGTGGATGGAGAAATATGGATTTCAAGTGAGAAGTATCTAGGGCAGCGTTTCTCAACTTGTGGGTCGCGACCCCTTTGGCGGTCGAACGACCCTTTCAAAGGGGTCGCCTAAGACCATCCTGCATATCAGATATTTACATGACGATTCCTAACAGTAGCAACATGAGAGTGATGAAGTAGCAACGAAAATAATTTAATGGTTGGGTCACAACATGAGGAAGTGTATTTAAAGGGCCAGAAGGTTGGGAACCACTGGTCTGGGGTTTAACTAGGGCATTAGTCAAAGGCTGGAGGTGACAAAAATTGGGAGCCTCCAGGTGAGAGAAAAGAGAGAGAAGTTCTCCCAGTGACCTGGGACGTTTTAGAAATGTTTATCAACTGACTCAGCCAGTCACCAACCAGCTTTCCTGAAAACTCAGCTTTCTTCACTTGAAATGTGAAATCTGAAATGCCAATAATAGTACGGTGCCTAGACACAGCACTCACTAACTAAATGGTAACATATCCGTATTGCTTACATATATATCTGGCTATGTCTGAGAAAAAGAAAGTTCCAGGGAAAAGATTGTTTATGAAACCAGCAGCAATTCACTGGGCCAGGCACGGTTCTCAGCTGAAGATGAAGAGATGAACAAAAACATCCAGCCCTGCCTTCCAGCCTCATGGTCTCATGGGAGAGTCTCTGAACGCAACAGAAGATTGCAATAGACCAGGATCAATGGTGATGTACAATGTTCTGGATATCATGGGATATATATGTAAACAAGGAGGGGTGCCCGAGGGCTTTGAGAGGGATGAGGGAAAGGCTTTGAGGGGGGTGCCAGGTGCCATAGAGCTGGTGTAAATTCTCCCGGAATGGAGTTGTTGACATACCTGGACACAAATGACATTTCCAGTTTTCGCATGAGCAGAGGCTCAGAAAATAACCTTATAACATCTTTGGTTGTCCTCGCATTGGCTACAGAGAAAATACTGAACAACTCACCCTCCTCCTGGCCCGAGGAGCTGGTTCTGGGGTGTTTGGCGATGTCGACTCATTTGGTGTTTCCGAGGTGGAGCTGAGAGATGAGTTACTGCTTGACAGTTCTTTGTTTTGTCTTTTACTTCCAAATGGGAGGAGGGAGGCAACAAAATCGGATGCATCCTTTTGCTCGTCCCTCTGTAAGTCCTGCTTGAGCTTGTAGGCCCGGTCATTTGCAATGACTTGGGACAAGGGCATTCCAAATGCCTGCGGGATGAATTCTGGAATCGAAACGCAAACATTCAGTTTCAGAGAAAGACCGGGCCAGTGGAGACTTTCACTGACACGTGAGACCTCAGGGCAGACATATTCAAATGGCTGTTTTTGGAAGAACTGATTGCTCAATCCAAATAAGAAGATGACTTTTGTGTTGATCAGAGTGGCCAAGGTTTCTATTTCAATAAGGAAAGCTAGTGTGTATAACTATTATAGGCTTTAGACTTCTCGGCCTCTTGTTTTTCTCCACATATCTCAAGTATGGTTGAAAGAAAATGACTTTATAGAGAAATGTGATATTTTTGATAAAATGTACATAATAGTTTATCCTCATGAGGACACAGTTTTACAAAGAGTTAGTCCTCAATTTATATGTCTCAAGAACCCCCAAAGCTTACAAGGCATGGTAAGACTCTGCATTGATACATTTATTTGACAGACACCTATTGAAGACCTACTATGTGCCATATCAAATTACACAATGGGGAGTACAAAGCTTGTGAAAGGTAGGCCCAGTCCTTGCTCCCGGAAGCTTCCGAGAGTGGAATGGCGGAGTGCAGGGTCAGATATGTAAATAAATGCAATAGTGTCCATAATGTGCTAGGATAGAGAAATGCATGAAGCAAAGGCAAATTCAATTGAGTGGATATACTTTGAAGTTCCCAGTGAAAGAGCTATCACGTGACATGATAATCTGAGAGGCAGAAGAGCAAGTTGGAAAGAAGTCTGCTCTATTTTCATTGGGTTGCTCGTCCCCACATGCTGGCTCCAGTCAGCCGGGTTGGGGCTGTCACTCATGATCTGTGCTCAGGCTGTTCTGCTGACCACATGGGAAAGTGGAGTCCCGCCATTAAGTATCTGGTGAAGGGCCCCAGACACAATTTGTTCAATCCTCTAGCGAGGAAAATTTTGGAGACGGAGCAGAATGCAGAAATCTATGGCTTTATTTGTAGATGTACATCCAGTTGCTTTCTGGATCTCTACAGTAATGTGTATACAGATACATCATAAGCACACCAATCTTTAGGGCCAGGCATTTTTTAATATATTATTTTTATATTATATTTTATATTTTTATATTTTATTTTTATATTATATTTATATTATATTATGTATACATTATATTTTTTAATATATTTTCATTGATTTCAGAGAGGAAGGGAGAGGGAGAGAGAGAGAAACATCAATGATGAGAGACTATCATTGATCGGCTGCCTCCTGCACGCCCCCTACTGGGGATCGACCTCACAACCTGGGCATGTGCCCTGACTGGGAATCAAACCATGACCTCCTGGTTCATAGGTGGATGCTTAACCCCTGAGCCACGCCGGCTGGGCAGGGCCAGGCATTTTATTGGCAACGTTTTAGATTCATGATGAAGAGCATTAATGATTAGATTAAATGATTCTTTTAGACTCAAAATTAGGTTTTTTAGCAGCAGCAAATTGGAGGCTAGCCTCTCCATTCTTTTTATAATCCCTATAAATAAAACTAGAGTGCCCTGGCTGGTTTGGCTCACTGGATGGAGCGTCGGCCTGGGGACTCAAGGGTCCCAGGTTCGATTCCGGTCAAGGGCATGTGCCTTGGTTGCAGGCTCAACCCCAGTGGGGGGTGTGCAGGAGGCGGTTGATCGATGCTTCTCTCTCATCGATGTTTCTGGCTCTCTGTCCCTCACCCTTCCTCTCTGTAAAAAATCAATAAATATATTTTAAAAATTAAAAAAAAACTAGAGTGATCAAGAGAAAACAGTTGTAAAATGGTTTGTTCTTCGAAAGAAAAAGCTAACATTAAATCAGATGGAAAGACGCTTTAAAGGTTTTCTTCTTTGATACATGGCACCATTTTAAAAAATATATATTTTATTGATTATTTTACAGAGAAGAAGGGAGAGGGATAGAGAGCTAGAAACATCGATGAGAGAGAAACATCGATCAGCTGCTTCCTGCACACTCCCTAATGGGGATGTGCCCACAACCAAGGTACATGCCCTTGACTGGAATTGAACCCGGGACCCTTCAGTCCACAGGCCGATGCTATCCACTGAGCCAAACCAGTTAGGGCAGCAATTCGTTTTTAAGTGGAAAATTAAACCTTCAGCACCTTGGCTTAGCATTTGGGTATTTTCTGCAGATGCTTACCATTCTCCATCAACAAACCAGGTGGCATATAATAATCCCAAAAATATTTTAGGAATTTGTTTTGAGTGATCAATGTGGCCAGTGTAGCAAACTGCAATGCTCCTTATAAAAGGCCACTTCCACTACCAGCAAAGAGCAACCAAATGGGGCCCTAGCAGACCACCTGCTGTGCACCTCAGGTTTTATTATGTAAATCAGTACTCTCTTGTCTATGGGAATAATCAAATAGTCTGCCTTCAAAAAGGTTGGGGAGTCCTAACGGGTTTGGCTCAGTGGATAGAGCGTCGGCCTGCGGACTCAAGGGTCCTAGGTTCAATTCCGGTCAAGGGCATGTACCTTGGTTGCGGGCACATCCCCAGTAGGGGGCGTGCAGGAGGCAGCTGATTGATGTTTCTCGCTCATTGATGTTCTAACTCTCTATCCCTCTCCCTTCCTCTCTGTAAAAAATCAATAAAATATATTTTTAAAAGAAGGGTTGGGGAAAGTCTAGAAACAAGTGGATGGCCAGGTTGACAGCTACACAGAATATTAGGGACAATAACAGCAAAAAGGATATTGATGAATATCTCAAGTGACATGTGTCTGCTCATGCAGGCTTGCTCAGAGCAGAATTTAATATGAGGTGGGGACTATTGATTTCTCTCTGAGCCACATTTTCTATACAAGGAAAACCAACCAGTCTCATTTAGAGATTTCTAATATCCCGGGGGGAAACAGAAGAAAAATGGGTTTCCTTTGGAACCTGTCACTTTTAATATCTGAGAGTCTGTCACTCTACTTGTAAATTGGAATAACTGAATACAAATGAAACATGGAATATGTGAAGTCATTCTCCCCAATTTTTATTTCTCTCTTTTTTCCCCAATCAAGAGCCGTAGCCACCTATCACAGATTTTTATTTCTAATGGGCCTTCTCTCCTGGCTGAGTTTATTCTTGCAGTAATAGCATTCTGATGTAGTCTCTTTAGTTTCTCACTGCTTTCTTCCGAGGGCTCTTCTAAGCTTCAGAAAGGAGACCGCCCTGTGCCACGCAACTTGTGCTGCCGTGTCTAGTTTTTGTCAAATTCGAGATGTGATTCCTTAAATATTTTTGCTTTTCAAAATATGGCTATTGTGAAATTGGGGATTTATCACAAGCATATTGAGCAAATTCCTCCTTTATGTATAAATAGAGAGTTGAGCACCCACGCTTATCTGAGGATCCAAAGCTCTTCCATCAGCGGATAAAAAGGAACCTGTGATGATGGTGGCTAATCAAGTTGAGAATAGGTTTTAAAACCATAGGACATTACCCAAGATGCACTGTTTGGGGGCCAGGAACAATGTGTCTCAGGTTCCCATCTATGGAATGTGTTCATCGAGGAGGCTGCTTGCCGTGTTTTTATCAGTAGCAACTGCCTACTCTCCCGCCCCAAGAACTGTGGGGTCAGGTATGACATCCTCTCTGCTCCCCACTGCCATTCCCAGGTCATCCTCTTCCCACTGTGCGGCAGGAACGGGCTATTGCAACGTTCCCCTGGTCTCCTGGTATCTTCTATTGACAATGACTTCGACTCATGGTCGTGACCCTCCCAAATCTACCATCCCCGTGGGTGGCTTGGACATCTACGGAAATGGCCTATCTGATCCTCTGTCATCCCATCTCCTTGACCTGCTCTCCTCTTACTTTTTCATGCACGCCACCTCTTTCCTCCTCTCCCTCCGTCCCCTCCTACGCTTTGTCCTCAGCAGGAGTGATCCTACCTCTGGAATCAGGCTTCTTCCTTCCAGTCTTGTCTCCTTCACCCCAAGTTCATGTTTACCCTGCGGTGTGGCAATCTGTTTAAACATACCATCAAGCCACCCCCGCCACGACACTTTGATGGTGTCTCCATACCCCTGGTGCTGCGATTAGGAACCACATTCACCGGAACAAAGTAGTTATTTTTAACCCTTTACCCTCCAAGTGATTTCTCTTTGATACCAGCAAGAGATTTTTCTAAAGTTCTAAAAGTTTACAAATACTTTTTGGTTGCCAAGCAATTTAACTAAGAGAAATTAAGGGCTTGGAACTATTCTGTATGACAATGTGTTTTCTGTTTCCAGATCGTAGCTATTGTAAATAAGGCTGCTATGAACACGGGGTGCATACATGCTTTCTGATTGGTGTTTCACGCTTCTCAGGATATATTCCTTGAAGTGATGCAGTGAAGGCCTGGGGTGGCAGTGGGAGTGGGGTAAATGGAGGAAAAAATGGGGCATCTGTCATACTTTCAACAATAAAGATAAGTTAAAAAAATGCCTTATTGGTGCACCCCAAAACCTGCTGATTATAGATACACTTAAGCTTTTCGTGACTTCTTTATAAATGTATAAAACTAAAAAATTAGTGAGGGCAAGAATAAATAAAATATTTATATAGCCTTTTGACACAGGGACAAAAAAAAGAAAACATGTTTTCTGCACCAGCATCCGTCTTGAATTAGTTTCATATGGAAATCAAAAGTCACACGGGCACTGCTTAAGTGGCAGGAGGGATGCAGGAATGTCACATGATCTGCTGTATATTATGGCAAGCAATGAAATAAAATACAGGACATGATTCATTCTGATTGAATCAATTAATTTAGCGGCGTACCAAACATTTAATGAATCACTCTTTATTGGGAAAGCAATTTGATTCTAATAAGCGGCTCTCATTTATTTTTAGATGATCTAACCCAAGAGGTCATTTCGAGTTTCCTGTTTTCCTGGTTTTCCTCTTGGATTCAAGTGATTATCATTTTTCACATGTGCAGCTGTTATGAACTCAAATGCTAATATTCCAATGGAAGAAAATACTGTGAACCAACGAACTGTGTGAGACCCGCAGGCTGCCCCTCACACTGGTTCCCAGGACTTTATGTTTGGGAAGGATGCCATGGAATTAAGCTTCATTTAAGCATAGGACACCTTTTTCAATATCACAGCTACTTTAAATAAGAAAAAATACCATTTTTTTTCCCATGAAGCTTTGTTTTTCTCCCCTTAGTTGGATGGGTGGTGTGTCTTTCCTTTGGAAGCATCAGGACCTGTTTTATTTCTCCCCAAGGCAGCTCCCTGCGCAGCCTTGTAGAACACTGCCAGGTTCTCACTGCGCCTATATAATACATAAATATGATTTGGTCTGAAAAATGCCCAATGGCCCAGTACATATTGGTCAATTACTTACCCTGGTCCTTCCTTCCCTGCTCACTTCCATTCTTGCTTCCCGCTGTTTTGTGATATAAGCAAGCACACATACATCTCTCTCCCCTGAGAGAACTGAAACATCTCCCACAAAAAAGCTCATCTGCTCAGTACCCATGGTCAGCAAACTGCGGCTCGCGAGCCACATGCGGCTCTTTGGCCCCTTGAGTGTAGCTCTTCCTAAGCCTTAGGAGTACCCTAATGAAGTGAATAACAATGTACCTACCTATATAGTTTAAGTTTAAAAAATTTTGCTCTCAAAAGAAATTTCAATCGTTGTACTGTTGATATTTGGCTCTGTTGGCTAATGAGTTTGCCGACCACTGCTCTATGGGAAGTAAAATGTTTGTTTTCCATTCTTTAGAATTCTGTATCTCCTTTTATTCCAAAGCAGGGGTCCTCAAACTACGGCCCGCGGGCCACATGCAAATACAAATATTGTACTTGTTCCTGTTCTGTTTTTTTACTTTAAAATAAGATATGTGCAGTGTGCATAGGAATTTGTTCATAGTTTTTTTTAAAACTATAGTCTGGCCCTCCAATGGACTGAGGGACAGTGAACTGGCCCCCTGCTTAAAAAGTTTGAGGACCCCTGTTCCAAAGAATCAAATGTAATGACCCTTTAGCATGGTTCGAGATATGGGTATAGAGTCTGGGATCAATGATGTGGACTAGGTCTTGTCCAATATTGATTACAATGTGTTTACTTTTTATACTTCCAGTTTTATTTCCTTCCATCAAGCAGAAATTCAATAGTTATATAAAAGATTTCCCGGGTAAGGCACATGGCTCTCCTTACTCAACCCTCATTTACTATGTCACATAAAATGAAAATACATTCATATGACTACACCACTCAGCAGTCATTTCATAGAAACGAACCACAAAATGTTGTACTATGCTAACGGGAGCCAGGTGCCCATTGTGTGGGCTCAATTAATATTAGTTTGAAACGACCACAAGGAATGGCTAAAGTGTCAATTCCCTAAGTAGACACAAAAGGGTACACAAAACAGTATGAAGAGAGTCAACAATTCCCCAAACATATAGGGCAAAGAATAAGCACGCAATGATCTAACATCAAAATGCTGAAAATGGCTCATCTTCAATAACCCGTGAGGATGACACTGTTTCTCTCCAGTAGTCATGGTAGGCGAATCCAAACTCTCACTCAGCTAGCCCTGCCTAAATATCTGGATTTGCCAGACAGCTGGTTAACGTTAGAGATGCTATCCATGGCTACTCAACCCAGGTTCTCTGTATGCATAGCTCATTGGCCAGCATCATAATTAGAACCATAAACTTGGCTGAAGTCACACTTTTCTCAAACCAGCTGAACTCATCAATTCAATACAGGGCCACTCAAACACAAAGGAGTAGACCCAAACAGTTCTTAATGACATTCCATCATAGAAATCCAGTTTACGTAATAGCGTTGAACCACATAAATCTATGCAATTCAAAAACCCCACCAAATTCAACCATTATGCTCCATGGGAGATGTGTTCCCTCTAGTTCATTCCGTTCCTTACCTCTGTCTTTGTTTTTCTCCTTCCCTAGTGAATCCAGTTTCTTTCTCAAAGATTTCTTCCTCTTTTGTCCATCTGTAAATATTAAAAGAATAAAAGGTTGTAAAAATAAGAATACAGTAATATTTTACATTATCAATAACCGTGTCTGAGCAAAAGCATGACTTCTCACTTCACTCATAATTTGATATTTTAAACAGACCAATGGCTCTGAAAATATAAGAAAAATCCCTTACTTGGATTGCACACATCACGAGAATCTTGGTGTATGCTCTTAAAATTTGTCTCATTGGAAAGTATAGGAAATTTATTTCCTTCAGAAATAATTTAGTTTTGACATTTCAGATATGTTTGTTTTTACTATTAGATGAGTTTCTTCCTATTCATGTGAACCAATGTCATCTTTTTAAAATGTTTAATGAGTTTATGGGGGTGACATTGATTAATAAAATTATATAGGTTTCAGGTGTAAAATTCTGTCACAAATCATCGTATATTACATTGTGCAAAGTTAAGTCTCCTGTCACCATTTACCTACCTTTACTATCTTCTAGCTCCTCTCACCCCCATTTCCTTCTGATAACCATCATACTATTGTCTCTATGAGTTGTATCTTGCTAAGTGAAACAAGTCAGTCATAGAAAGACACATACCATAGATTTCACTTATATGTGGAATGTAATGAACAGAATAAGCTAACGAAATAGAAAGAGACATAGAGAGAACAGGCTGACAGATGTTAGAGGGGAGGGGGCTGGGTGAAAAAATTGAAGGGACTAAGCAAGTACAAACCCCACTAACAAACCAATGCCATCTTGAATGAAGTCTCTTTGAAAGAAGAGTTAACAGCACATAAGGCTTTGGCATTCATGAGCTAGTAGAGTGTAACTGGAGAAGGAAATGAATTTGGGGTTATAGTGCACAGATCTAATTACTGTTGTACCATTTATTAACTGTGTAACTTTGCATAAGTCTCAGTGTCCTCCTTTATAAAGTGGGAATTCCATAGGGTTGTTGTGAAAATTAAATAAAACGATGCAACTAAAGTGCTTAATGGGGACCCTGACACTTAAATTCAGATGTAGTTTCCTTGATTTAATTAACTACTCCCCCATTGATGGACACTTGGGTTGTTTCTAATTTTTCACTATAATAAGTACGTCATACATTCTTTTAGCATCTTGTGCTTGCAGCAGATACACTTAATATGTCTAGTTAACTCACCAAATAATAAAGATACCACTCATATCAGTAGGCAGCTGCAATCGAATTCCTGGGATGTCATCATAAAATATTGGCAGTCATTATAAGAATGCGTTTTGGGATTATGCAGCTGTCAACTTAACATGTGGGAGATGCGAATCGGGAATCCACACTGTGGTCAAATAGGAGAAACACAGCCCGCGCCACAAGGAAACGTATGTGTAAGAGGGGGATTAAGAAGTGTTTTTGAAGGGATAAACTAAAAAGTGTAGTAAAGAAAGAGACTCAGCCCAATAAAATGTGAAAGCAAGACTCTGATATCTAGAAAAGCCTAACTATGTATTCTGAAACAGCAAGCATTCCTGGGATCCTCACGGGGTTTAGATGTTTCCAATTCCTCCTCTCTGAATGTTTGGAGGCAAAAGATATCACAATATAATCAACATTCAATCCCTCCTTCCTTTCAAAAAGCAAAAACAAATATTGCAAAAATGATTCTCCTTCCATAAAATGGAAGTAGTTTGTAAGAGTCTTCACTCTTGCGTTCATGAGACTGGTATGGGGAAAATTATGTAAATCAGTTCAACTGCAGCAAAGAGCCAACAGTCTCTTTCATCATGTACATGCTCTTATCGTCAGGGTCTAAAAGACGATCTTACTTTAGGGACGACCATGATTTATTATATACATACAGACATAAACATACTAACCGTACAAGGTTCTAATCTGTTCTCCAAATAGGACTGACAGGTCTTCTACTGTGTAACACTTTATTCATCACTAGTTCATATCACCAAATGTATTTGACTATAACAAGAGTATATTTCTTAAAAAATATCCTATCATTCTTTCATTTTACTAGTTAACTTGGAAGAATAACTAAATGATATATATGGAAGCATAAAAGATTTATTTTTCATAACTATTGGGCAGATCCTACAATTCAAACAAGTTGTCAAAGAACCAGACATTTTCTTTGAAGATAAAATGATTTTTCTGCTTAGTTAGGGGATGTATCATATACACAGATGTGTATAAATATAGATGTACAGTTTAAATAATAATTAGGAGACCAACTCCCACATATCCAACAGCAATAGGAGGCTCAGATGTAGACTATTGCTAGTACCAAGAAGTCCCCTATACACCTCCCTCCCCTTCACCCCAGGTCATCACTGGTCAGATTTTACAGTAATCAATTTACTGATTTTCTTTGCAGTTTTACCCTTAAGAGTATAGTTTTGTTTTTCCTGCTTTGGAATTCACATAGATGGGATCATGCTGTAGGGATACTTTCTTGCCTTATTTATTTCATTCATCAACGCTTCCTGAAATTCATCCAGTTGAGGCAGGTGGCTGGAGTTCACTCATTTTGATCGCTATACATTGTTTTCTGGTATGAATATACCAGTTTATTTACCCTATTGAACTGTTGATGGAAATTTGAATTGTTTCTAGCTTGGTACTATTAGGAACAATGTCTTTGAAAAGTTTTGTTTTTATCTTCTTACCTATGTACAGGCACAAGAATCTTTCTAAGACAGTGGTTCTTAAAATGTGGTCCTAGGACCAAGAGCACCAGTATTACCGAGGAACTTGTTGGAGATGCAAAGTTTATGTTCCCATCCCAGACCTACTGAGTCAGGAATTCTGGGGTGGGGCCTAGCCGTGTGTGTTCACCGAGCCCTCCAGGGGATTCTGCTTCACACTAAAGCCTGAGAACCAGAGTCCTAGGGTATACGTGTAGACGTTGCATGGCCAGGCCAGTGTGTATGCAATCCTAGGCTTTAGTAGGTAGCACTGAGCTGTTTTCCAAGTTGTTTTGCTAACTTATATTCCCACGAGTAAGAGAGCTTACATGGCCTTACAAGGATCATATGGACTTCAAAGTCTAAAACTCCAAACAATTTCTTAAAGCCTCCTTATCACAAAAATGTGATCTTTGTGAATACTGGCTTACGATTTTTTGTGGTTGTTGTTAATCCTCACCCGAGGATATTTTTCCATTGATTTTTAGAGAGAGTGGAAGGGAGAGAGACACACAGAGAGAAACGGCGATGTGAGAGACACACAGAGAGAAACATCGATGAGAGAGAGACACAGAGAGAAACATCGATGTGAGAGACACACAGAGAGAAACATCGATGTGAGAGACACAGAGAGAAACATCCATGTGAGAGAGACACATTGGTTGGTTGCCTCCCACAGGTGCCCTAACTTGGGGCCGGCGATTGTGCCTGCAACAGAGGTATGTGCTCTTTACGGGAATTGAACCTGGGACCCTTCAGTCCATGGGCCAATGCTCTATCCACTGGGTCAAATCGGCCAGGGTCTGGCTTACAATTTTTTTAAAAGCTTAACTATTTACAACAAATATTATCTTTTCATTAGAGCTGAATGTTATTAAAAGGAACTAAATGAAATGATGGGTGATGTGCGATAATGTGAAATGATGCATTGCTTTAGCATGCCATTTCCTCAGTTAAAATCCTCAGGAAAGTGCCCAGCGCTGGGAAATGAAACTGCTCGTGTCTTCTCTTTTCCCTTGTGATCAATCAGCAGTTTGTTTATTGTGTCTTCAGTTTTGGAAGTGTCTTTATTCCCACAGATCACAGAAAACCTGCCCAAGGGACTGTCGCACTTCATGTGACCATGCAGAGCAGTTTATGTTCAACCAGTTCCTTGGATGACAATATGTGTAATAAGCACCATCACATATTTTACAGAAGTTTAAGCTTCCTAATGCTCAATACTCAATACTGCAAGCAATATTTTACAGTGACGAGGAGCACATGCTTGCTAACTGCTCCCCAGGTGTGCACTATCTTATAGACATCAGTGACCTGTATATAGGACTTGAGTCACACGTTCTGACCAGAGTTGTCTTGGAACAAGTATTTGGGCATTGGGCTTTATGCTCCCTCCTTTCCGGAGACCATGCCCCATAGACATACATGACACAACAGTAGATGCGAGACAGCCAGCCCTCCACATACTAGTGACCCCAAAGCAAAGGAACCATCGGTGTGGAGTGTGGTTAATCTGGAGTCCTCTTGGGGGTGGGGCAATACCAGGGTTTTCAGGAGGGTTGAGACAAGGAGGCTCGAGATTTCTCCTCTAGGACATGCTTTTCATGAACTCAGTCATTCACCATCAGGTGGAGTTCCATCTTAAGGCTTGTTTCTCTAGCCCAGTGGTTCTCAACCTTCTGGCCCTTTCAATACAGTTCCTCATGTTGTGACCCAACCATAACATTATTTTCGTTGCTACTTCATAACTGTCATGTTGCTGCTGTTAGGAATCGTCATGTAAATATCTGATATGCAGGATGGTCTTAGGCGACCCCTGTGACAGGGTCGTTCAACCGCCAAAGGGGTCGCGACCCACAGGTTGAGAACCGCTGCTCTAGCTAGACTAGAAGCTCTCTGGGAGAGCCATGTCCCCTAGGCTTTTGTTTCCCTCCAAGAGAATAGCATAGCGCGGCGGGGAGGGGGGGGGCACAGCATGAGGATCTGTCAAGCACCCTCCATGGCCAGAAATCGGATAGAGGTTTTGGGCTGGTTCTGAGAGAACCTGGGAGCAATAAAGTACATAACTCCTCATTTTAAGGTGAGCAGATTCAGAGTGGTGGTTATAAAACAGTATTTCCATACTACATTGATTCTAGAGATAATAATAATAATAAAGATATTGCTCAAGGAAAGATTCATTTTGGGTGATGGGAGAATAAGGGTCACTTTGGGGGAATAGATATTGTCTGAAAGGGGGCATGAAGGAAGCAGGGTTCTATGTCTTGACCTGATTGGTGGTTACATGATGTATACATATTAAGAACCCACTTAATTGTACTTGTATACATTCATATTTATGGT